ATGTCAATTTACAGTTCAGTTCAAGACCTAGAAAGTCTTCCTGAAGCTTGATTATTATGCACATGATATTTATTTAACAACAGAAGCCAGTTCTAGTGTAGACTTAAAAACTGGCCGTGAATTCCAACTTTTTAGTAGCTATCCTAAGATAGGAAAATAATACTTCATAAAGTATATGGTATAACAGTTCTTAATATTATGGTTTGAAGGAGGAAGTACTGGCCAAGTAGTTTTATAGGAATACCTAATGATTTTTTTTTTTTTTTAAGATTCGAAATCTAAGAGGCCTCGAACAAAACTAGGTTTCTCTAACCAGAGAACAATACAGCATTTGAGATTAGAACCCAGTAAATCACACAGGAACTTAAACATTAATGATTAGGGACCATTCATGAGATCTTAGGTACCATAGCACTAATGTCTTTAAGTGCTACATTACTCAGATCTAGCTGGTGGGCTTTTACTTTTCCTGGATGGATTTTAACTAAAGAGACTTTAGACATTTGGATATAGATAAATGCCTAATTCAGTAATTAGTATTTTAAAACTGTGAAACCTTTTAAGTTAAGTGGTCTATTAATTAACTACCAATTATCTTGTCTGACTACCATATCAATAGAAGTAAATTACCGACTAGCTATTTGACAGATTTAGCCCTTTACCGTGCAAAATTTCTTCAGAACATAAAAGGCCTGGAGTTAAATGCTTTGGCTTCCCCCCTTTGGTTAATCAGGGATCAATCTGCTGCTCACGTATAAAGGCCAAATGCAGCTCTTTGGTCAAAAAGGATCTACAGATAAACTCTGTCTTGTAAAAGTAGCAAGGTAAGATTCTTAAAAAATAACAAGCAAAGCAATATTCATGTTTTGGGGAAAATACAGGCTTGCAATTCCTGTATGGAGGCCAACTTGCCACATTTCAAAGGAGACGAGCAAGGTATTTTCAAGCTTTTGTATCACACAGAGCCACAGAGAGCGCCTAAGTGAATGGGTGCTATGATTATGCCAACATTAAAGTGCATTGCATTGCATACATTCTTCTTGGTCTTGTGCTAACCCTGACGTGAATGTTGCACAACAGATTATACTAACTGGAGCCTACCCCAAACCTATCACTTCTTGACTGGTGACCAAGAGAAGGCTCCTAGGAGAGCTGCTGGTGATAGAGGAATCCTGGAAGGTGGAAGCATCACAGCAGACTGGAGGGCTGTGTAGAACAATGCTGAGCACAGCCAAAACTTTCAATGTGCAGGGAAAGAAATCGTATGAGGTTAAGAATCAAGGAGGGAATTGCAGTGGGAATCCTCTCCTTGAGGCCCAGCCATTGGGATGTATGAATGGTTGCCATACATTCGATTTGAGCTTGATTCCAACTGGGTTATCAACACCAGCCTTCTCAAAGTCGCTAGCCTCGCATCAATGAGCAGAGTTAATACACTACAGTAAATGTGAGCACGCGGGTGGGGCAGGGAGAATGGAAAAATTGTGTAGCAAAACAAAAGGAGATACAAACCATTATGAATGTGAGCCAGCCCCATTTTGAGATCTCCTCAGTCTTGCACGGCATTGAGTTAGTTCACCATAAGGCTTACCTTTTGATATTTCAGAAGACAGGCTTCTGTGAGCATCCTGAGTAGGTGATCTTCTGAATCTTTAAGCAGAAGTCTAGCCTATTGAACACTCGTTTATTGACTGTTCATTGAGTCTTAGGAGTGGAGTTCTATTCCAAGCAGGGGAAAACAAATAGGAAGAATAGAACAAACTGCCTTCAGACAGCTTGCCATCTATTTTGGAATTTCAGGGCACAATGCATAAAAAAAATTATACCAAAGAGCACATACTATGCCACAGAGGGTGAGAATGAACAGATGCTGCAAGAGATTAATGGCAAGAAGAGAGAAAGCTTTAGACAAGCCATTTAACTGCAGCTTCATCAGAAAACAAGGGATGCAACAAAATTAACTCTAAGGATCCTTGTAGCTCTAATATGCAACAATGCCAGACAAGGGCTGGAGTGGGGAGGGAAGACTGTATTAGGAAATGTGCTAGGCCTTAAAAGGTACAGGAGTGGAGGAAGAGGGTCTTGAAGGCAAAGGCAGTAGTAGAAGGGTTTGGAAGTAGGAGCGCCCTCAGCTTTTCAGTGGAAGTCCACATGGTTTTCTATGTCATTGCACAGGACTTTAACGCTGAGTCAGGATCAACATACCATTCAGTATTTTATGAAAACAGAGAGCAACTGCTACTTACAAGTCTGGCTCAAGACTACCCATTCAAATGACTAAATGACTCTTTGCTCAGCTGATCTACTTTTTAAATAAAATGTATGGGGCAACTTCTTCTTCCCACCCAGATACAGTAAAAAGACACACTGGTTATTTTCTTTGGAAGGAAAACAGCACATGCTAATGTATCTTTAGACAGTTGTTGCAGACATTTTTGCCTAAGAGGACTACTGGAAGGGAAGATGAATTCAGGTAGCTCTTACATCATTTAACACCCCCCCCAACCACCAAATCGCTGTAAAAATTATAGTAAGTCTTCTTCTAAATTTTAGTTGCTAGAACTCAATTTCTTTTTTTTCTTTTTTTTTTTTTATTCATGAGAGACAGAGCGAGAGAGAAAGGCAGAGGGAGAAGCAGGCTCCCAAGGAGCAGGGAGCCCGATGCGGGACTCGATCCCAGGACCCTGAGATCATGACCTGAGCCGAAGGCAGACGCTTAACCATCTGAGCCAACCAGGCGCCCTTTAGTTGCTAGAACTCAATTTCTTAAAGGGTTTGTCAGGCTCGGCAAGAAGTCAGAAATTCCAACTCTAAAATGAATTTTCTGACTCAATATTGAAAATAAATTCTTCAGTTTAGATGCTTAGGGGAAAAACAGCTGGAGAATTCAGGAGCCTCCCATATTTTAATATGAAGTGACGTCATTACTGTCAAGGCTTCCAAGAACTCCCTAAATTGTGTAGTTAAGCAACATCTCAAAGCAAAGTAAGGACTCTGGGAAGGTGGTATGTTCCTGCTTAGTATATAGATTCAATTCCACAATAATTTTTCTATTGGAGATTTGATTCAATTTTCTCCTTAGGTTTTAGAAAGTAGTCTAATGTTAAGATACAGTTTATCAACTGATGTGCATTTTCAAAGCCAAAGCTATGGATTTTCTGTGCTTAACACACTCTCAATTAGCTCTCATTTTACAGAATGTCTAGTGAAGAGAGGCTGCTTTCCTCTTAAGTCTTTAACTGCAGATGATTGTATGAGTTTCTTTAAAAGTGTGGTTACATTTGAAATTTTATAATTCAGCAAAATAATCATGCAGAAAAAGTAGACAAGATGGCTAAACTTTAGAGCATCGTTTATATTTCAGAAACCAAGGGTCATCTCAAAGATTATTGGAAAAAAAACAGTCCTGGTGTTGGTGGTCCGCAACTAGCCTGCCAATGGCTGTATATCTATTTAAAGATGACAGGTTGACTAAAATCAACTGGAGTTTCTAAGGCAGCTTCATCCTTACCATTCCACTATGAAAACTCCAAGTCCATCTGCAATTCACATATGTCTTATTTCAAATGGTGGTTGTTTTACTCAGAATTAAAAATACATAAGATTCTTGATAAACCATATTGCCAAGTTTATTCATTTGTACCGGCCTTTACTCACCTGATCCACCCCCTTGCCACTTGCTCTTATGGACCCCATGGCAGCAAGGACTTCTATTCAGTTCCCCACCCCCACTGCACACAACACACACACACACACACACACACTCTTTCTCTCTCTCACACACCTATGCACACGCCCACATGCACAAGCACACTTAAATGCCCCCAAACTGTATTTGGTAATCACCTTACTCATTTAAAACATCCATATGAGTTAGCTCATATCACTTGTGTGTTCATTTCTAGAGGTTTGGAAATGAATTAAATAAAGCTCATGTTTTAAAATAAAACATTAAGCTTCTTTCAGGATCAGAGAAATGGTTTGATGTTCAAGGAACAACATTTGAGTAAGTACTTCTAAAGCCAGATTAAGTTTTTAAGCAGTTGCTAAAAAATTAATGAGGTTTAATGTGACCTATTTAGAAGAAACAGTTCTTTGTTGTGTTCCATTAGAAGGCTAATCCGCCTATGGAAAATACAAAAACGAAAATCCTATCTCCTTACCCTTTCTTTATTGGCTCTTACCTATCTACAACAGTAAAGGGGAATTACTGTGGAGGAAGAAGAGAATAAAGAAGGTCAACAGGGTAGTTATAGGGGAGAACTTCACAGCTACCATTATTGGAGTTTAGCTGAAAAATTGGGGTCCCCAGAGCAAGAAGGCCCTCCTTCCCTCTCATCCTTAGATGTTGTAGTAGCTCTGATGGTTAGAAGCTGATGTGGTTTAAGTCCCTGGTTCCCCAAGTCTCACAGTCCTCCTGCCCCTTATATAGTGACTCTGTGGTCCTATCAGGGTGACCTCTGTTCTCCTAAGAGAGGCATCTTGTAAGCTGAGAAAATTCTGAGATGTACTCCATCAGGACAATGCCACAGACCCTGTGGATGGTCAGTGGATGTTAAGTGACTGCCAGGGTGGCCTGACCACTCCCAATGGACCACAAATGCTGATCTCAGAATCTCTGGCACTTTCTAAAATGTGGCTGAGCAGTAATTTGGAAGCCTAAACTCTGACTTCAGGAATTCATAAGAACAAGCAAGGTTTTACAAACTCAACGGAAAGTAAAATAAACAAGCCCAGGGTTTTATGCTCCCTCTTGTTATTTGTATGGCAATCTTTCAAAACTAGTTCAAAATGTTCAGTCCTTTACCCTCTTCAGAAAGACTGCATGGACAGGGCAGAAAATAATTATTTGACAGTAACTGGCCATACAGTGTAATTTACCACGAGGAAGTAACAAATGAGAAGGAGGCTGTCTCTCAGGCTGGTACTGAAGTCGGGCTCCTTCCCAACCTTCTCACTGAGGAGGGCCTAGTAATAAAAACAAGGATGTTTATATTTACCCAGAAGTGTGCGTGGCAATTGACCATCATGGTTCTCTCAATGAGCTCATCGGGACATTCCAGAAGGTGATGCCCAGAGACCACGCCGGCATTATTGACCAGGACTGAGACCTCGCCGACCTCCTTGCGGACTCTTTCCGCCGTTAGGTAGACATTTTCCCTCTTTCCCACATCACAGGTGTAGGTAAAAACCTGCAAGTTACAGTGGGGCAGAATTTCTTCCTCACCATTCCCAGCTGTCCTCAGAAGTCCAGATGAAGGGGAAAAAAAATGGAACAGAGAAGGGGGTGGGGGGTGCAAAATGTGAGTCACATGGCAATCAGTAGGACAAAGATCACACAAAACAAAAATACTACAGTGAGCTTCACATTTCTAACACCCTGAGGCTTGCCAATGACTGAACTTACAGCTGCCTTCCTCCCCCAAAAGTCTTTGGGAATTATAGCAATTTACTAGATAACTTTGCTTAGGGGAAAATCATGTAATTGTGACAAGCCCCATACAAGTCAGACCTCATGGGATCAGCTTCCTGGAGCTAAAGACACCTGGAAAGAACTGATCTCAGCCCAGAGAGTAACAACCCCCCCTCGCCCCAAACACAAACACTACACACTCCTCTCTTTTGAGGAATAGTGGCCAGAACCGGCTTTCACTCTTAGTACCAGCACCCTCAAAATGGAAACTCTCCTTAAGGCTCACAAATCAAAACTGTAGTTGACAATCTGAAGTCATCCAAAGCCAAGAAATGAACCTAAAGTTTCTCATGAAAGAATGGAGATCACTGGTTTGTTCTAACTGGAATAGCTGAGCTCTCCTAAGAAGCACCTCACATAAATCAAACTTAAAGGTAAATATGCAATTTTACCACATAAGATCTCAATTTAAAAACCAAAATTCTCTTTCCTGGTTTTTGAATACCTTTCTCTCTTAGGTTTTGGAAGGGAGCACAAAAATCTGTATTTGCTACCCCTCCATACCACTGTTGAAAATGTCACATTTTTGACCTTTGATTTTCTGACCTAAAAGGCAGGTGCCAATAGTTTTGGTGAAAAATGATCGATACAGGGCAGGGGTGGTGTCCCAAGTTAATCTTCTCAGTATAGTTCATATGTTTTCTCTGGAAATGAAAAATTTTATCAAAGAGTAAGAGCCATTATCAAATTTCTTAGACCAATATTTATGGCTGGTTATGGTCTCCGCTTTGGCTTTAAAAAAAAAATCTCAGATTCAGATTATTCAATAAATACACAGCGAGGCAGATTTCCTGAGGTTATCAAAAACATGAAATAAGTTTACAGTGAGGCTTAAATCTTCCAAGCGCTTTGAAAGAGGTAGGACATCTTTCAATCAGGCTGAGTATATAACTAGAGCACTTACTTGTCTCTGGTGAAACAATGTTAATTATTTTCTTGTGGCTAAAGTTATAGTGAAATCATCAATGCTGCCCGAGCCTCAGCGGTTCAGACCACAGTAACATAGATACAGGCATCAGTGGAGTGTGAGAACAACTTCCCAGACACTTCAGTTCCCCACCGCAAACGGGAGTGAGGCATTTCTTTAGGATTCAAACCTGTGCTAGCAAGTTCCCTCTGCCTTCCCTATCCTCAAAGCGTTTAGGAAACCCGACATTCGTCCCCAGAGAGACAGGACCTCCGTAAAGACGGTTCACCCCACCTTCCCGTGTTCTAAAACAGAGGTGACCGTGTTCCTTTCTCACGGGGCAAATTCCACTCGCAGGAGACGAGGGGGTGGTTCTCTTCCTCGAGAGCGGGGCTGACCCGGGCAGTGGGGTTTCGGGCCCTCCCGGGGTCGGCTCGGGGGTGGGGAGAGGCTTGATCCCGCGCAGGTCCGAGTTACCTTGCAGCGCCGCGGCGTCGGCCGCCTCCAGGTCGCGGTAGATGTGGCGCACCATGCCCGCGGTCTCCTCGTTGCTCTGAGTGTTGATGTCCCAGAGCACCAGCAGCGCCCGGCGCCGGGCGAACTCGAGCGCGAAGAGGCGGCCCAGGCCGCTGCCGGCGCCCGTGATGAGGCACACCTGGCCCGCCACGCTCTTCTCCTTGGGCCGCACCAGCCAGCGCGCCGCGGCCAGCACGAACGCCCAGAGCACTTTGAAAGTGACCACGAAGAACTCGACCACGATGTTCATCGCGACGCCCGGAACCCCGCGCGAGTCCAGCGTCCGCGCCCACCCCGCTCAGGGCAGCCCGGCTCCCGGCCCCCCGGGCGTCTGTCAGAGCCGCCGAGACCAGAGGGCTGCGCCCCGCGCCCTCCCTCGAGGTGCCCTCCGGGCTGGAGTGCGCGGCGCCGCTCCCTGCTTGCGCGGGGCCACTCCCGCCCGGGCTCGGCGCGGTGGCCCCGGGCTGTGCCCGCCGCGGCAGCCGCCCGGCTCGGCGCCTCCTGCCGGCGGCCGCCCGCCCGTCCCGCCGGTCGGTCGGTCGGTCCCGCTGCAGCGGCGGTGACAGCCGCGAGTTAGGCGGCGCGCGCTGCCCTCATGGCCAAGCCGCCGCCGCCCGAGCGTCCCCGGAGCCGGCGCGGCGGCTCCCTCTCACCCCGGGGGAGGGGCGCGCAGCGGAGACCGCACGGGCCCGCCGGCCGCCGCGGGAGTTGTCAACTTGACCCAAGTTGCGAAAGGGTGGGAGAGTGGGGTGCGGGGCAGCGGGAGCGCCAGGAAGGGGCGACTCCTCGCTCGGTGCAGTCGAGCGCTGCCCAACGGCTTGCAGCTGCCCCCGCGGTCTCGTGTCCCCTGCCCTGCACTCCCCACGGCTGTCACTTGGGCACTGGGCTCCGCAGCGCAGCGCCGCTTGCAAGTCGGAGCGCTCCCGGCCGCCTCTGAGCGGGCTCCACGCTCCGCGCTATATAACCCTCGACCGGGAAGAGCCGGCGGCGGCATCGGCCCTCCCTCCGCTCGGCCCTCCCCGCCCCCGGGCGCACCCCGCCCCCGGCCCAGCCCCCAGCCCGCCGTCCGCCGAACCGCGGCGGGGCAGCCCCTCTCACATGGCCGCGGCCGCAGCCTCCAGCCCTTGTCGCACCTCCCTTCACAGCTTACGCCCTTGCCGTGGGGTGTCCCGGCCTCCGCCTGCCAGGCCTGGCGGTCGGCAGTGTCCGGGCCATCCTCCTCCTGCCGTCGAGTCCTCGCTAGTCCCTATGTCGCCACTTTCGTTGAGCTTGGGACTCTGGACGGCCCCTTCTGCGATCAGGCGCTGAGGAAGACAGCCCTGCAGGCTGGAGGAGCCAAGAGAAGGACCTCGGCAGCGCGGCAGTAGGGTGCCGGTTTATGGCTAGGGCTGGCAGAGAGCCGAGAAGGCCGTCAAAAGCCGGGTCTTGGCAGCAACTTAGAATCGCAGCTAGCTCTCTGGAACGTGGGCCGAAAGGCTCTCATTTTTCCTGGCTGAAATCACCACCGCTGGGTGCCCACAGTCCCAGTCAAGCGTTGCCCTCCCTCCTGGCTGGCAATGAAAGTGCTGCATGCCGGGATTTGTAGTTCGCGCTGGTGCGGCGTGTCATTTGCGTACATTACTGGGTGGAATTCGAGGAGTACCCAGTCAACGCAGCCTAGGGACTAGGACCCCGAGTAGTCAAGGTGTCAGCACTCTTTGCTCTTGTGCTATTGATTAAAGAGTCTATTCAATGCATGCATTTTCTCATACAAATTTTACCCGAAACTTGATCGTAAGGGGCAGAATCCGGCAGTACTTAATTTTGCGTCTGCAAGACGAGTTCTCAGTTCCGAGTTCTTTTCTGGCTTATCCTGGGACACCTATGAATTATGGGGCTTCGCTCTTGTCGTCTTTAAGTGGACCGCGCGCATGCGCTGACTTCCTCTTTTTCCGGCTGGAACCATGGAGGGTGCTGAGTAAGTTGCTCTTCGTCCGCTTGAGAATCTTTCTCCATCCGCGAAACCAGAGATCTTTTGTCTCACTTTCCCTCGATCCGGCGGTAGCCTGTATCTTTACCCATTTGTTTGTGTGTTTGTGACGCTCTGTGACACTAGTGGGGGCGCCAGGCTAAGGTGGGATGCAGGCGGCCTTGGGGGGGGGGAGGTTTTGGAGATGAACCCGGAACGAGGTGTGAGAGCCGAATGTGTGCGGGACCGGTGGGTATTCCTGTCTTTCAAGAGAGGCGCAGAACGTCTCAGTTGGGTTCAACCTTAGTTGGTATTTGGTCCAGTCGTCCCTGTCGTCAGGCCTTTGCTTTTAGCATGTGGAACTTCAGACCTGAATCAGGGTGGTAGTTGGGAGGTGTTTTAAAATTTCTTTTCCTGAGAATTCTAAGCCCCCTTACACTCAGCCTCGTTAAGAGTCTAGACATAGTGTCTTGCAGCCGTTTCTGAGTCTGTACGTTTTGTTAACTTTGCTGTAGGTGTTTTAATTATCGGAGGCCGGGGCTGATCGTGCATTAGATGTGAACTTATTGTGGTCTCCGACTGCTATTTAAGTGAAGGGGTCAGTATTAAAAGGCGAGGATTCCTGGCATAGAAACTCCCTAAAATCTGCTAGAGCAGCTAAAGATACAAACTTTTAGAGCCAGTGACAGTAGTAGTGCTAAATGACAAAGCGTGCTCAGTACAGATTAGGAGTAATGTGGTGTTGTGTGCTTTTTGAACTATTAATAAAGTTCTGTTCATTGATGCCAGAGAGAAGAAAAAGAAGGTTCCTGCTGTGCCAGAAACCCTTAAGAAGAAGCGAAGGAATTTCGCAGAGTTGAAGATCAAGCGTCTGAGGAAAAAGTTTGCTCAGAAGATGGTAAGTAAACTTTTGAGGTACTTTCCATGTAAAGGCCTTGTGGTTGGATTGAAAACAGGTGTTCTTTCTCAGCAAGACTTGTTAACTTCACCCACTGTACCAGTGAGCTTGGTTATTAGCTCTTAAAAGTGATATTAAATGAAGGTAGTATCTGCACTTTGAAATATTAATGCATGCTGTGGCCAGGAAAAAGTTTCAAGGGAACATTTTTTAATAGAATTGGTGTTGCAATAAATAAGCTAAAAAACTGGAATTGCTGATTGGGTTTGGGAGCTAAAAATCAGATGAATAACTGGTATTGGTTTTCAGCTTCGAAAGGCAAGAAGGAAGCTTATCTATGAAAAAGCTAAGCATTACCACAAGGAATATAGGCAGATGTACAGAACTGAGATTCGAATGGCAAGGATGGCAAGAAAAGCTGGCAACTTCTATGTACCTGCGGAACCCAAATTGGCATTTGTCATTAGGATCAGAGGGTAAGTTCAGTTTTAACTGCACTCTGGTTTTGAAGGGAAAGCTACATGGTCTCAGCAAGACTTCACATTACTTCTAAAGGCTTTGGTTTTGAAGCGCTGGAATAAAGATATTTTGGGTATAGCTTGAACATGGACGGTGGTGTCTTAATGGTTTAGTTGCAAGGTCTGTGCCTAAAGCTCCTATCCATTCTCTAATTGAGCATTTGAATTTTAATTCAGTGTCCTGGAGATTAACTTCAAAAGAAGATGACATGTAGGCTCATAAGTGCTCTTACAAAGATGAATACAAAACGAGGAAGTGGTAAAAGGATCAGGGGATAAGACAGCAAGTTGTCAGTGTACAGAACATGGGTGTAGCTATGGTCAAAGCAAGAGCAGCTGAACCAAGCCAGAAACCCACAGAAATTGTATCTTTAAGCTAATAGAAATAGGTTCCAACGTTGAATTGTTACTCGGAATATCTGTTAGACAAGGTATTCACACAGACCACAGTACATTGAAATTGGTCCCTAGGAAAGAACTCCTTATAGAAAATGTGCCATATTGTGATGCACCAACTCAGAAGCAATGAGTTTTCTAGGATAAAATCAAGTCTTTGTAGTTTTTAATCTTAAATAAATTAAATCTAATCTTAAACCTTAAAAGTTTTGGAAGTGCAAATATTTCAGAACCAGCCTATTGAAAATGAATGAGTTAGGGCGCCTGGGTGGCTCAGTTGGTTAAGCGACTGCCTTCGGCTCAGGTCATGATCCCAGAGTCCTGGGATCGAGTCCCACATCGGGCTCCCGGCTCAGCGGGGAGCCTGCTTCTCCCTCTGACCCTATCCCCTCTCATGCTGTTTCTCTCTCTCTCTCTCTCTCTCAAATAAATAAAAAAAAAAAAATTAAAAAAAAAATGAATGAGTTAAAGTATCACTTCATAATTAAATTTCACACTGAAAGGACATTGCTGAAAACTGCAGAACATAGTTAAATATTTCTAGACAGCATTAGATAAGACATGTCATTTGCTTTGAAAATCAAACTTTATAAAATAAATGCTCAGGAGATCAAAAAAGGGGGGGTTGTAAGTTTTAAATGTCAGAGTAGCTAACTAAAGGAAAAATGCCAGTGGTCATTGTAACAGGAGATGATTTCTATTTATTTAGGTGAGACTTGGGTGGTTTTAGGTGGGACTTGTGTTGTCCAAAATTCATAATTGTTAGTTTCCTATTCTTAATAAAAATTCTGATAGCTAAGTAAATTTTGTCTTTTTTTCCCACTGCAGTATCAATGGTGTGAGCCCAAAGGTTCGAAAGGTGTTGCAGCTTCTTCGCCTTCGCCAGATCTTCAATGGCACCTTTGTTAAGCTCAACAAGGCTTCAGTTAACATGCTAAGGATTGTGGAACCTTATATAGCATGGGGGTAAGTCTGTCCTTTCCTAAGAGTTCCTTTTGAACTGGCTGTTAGCAAGATGGATTTTAGGTGTTCTGATGGTGATAACCCTATTCTTTGGTCATTCATGTCTGGTTTTTCCTATTTCAGGTACCCAAACCTGAAGTCGGTGAATGAATTGATCTACAAGCGTGGTTATGGCAAAATCAACAAGAAGCGAATTGCCCTGACAGATAACACATTGATTGCCCGATCTCTTGGTAGGTTCTGCCTATTTTAGGAGAAATTTGATATTAGACAAAGTTGACATTTTCTGGCATCTTGTGGCCTTATATTCATTCTATTACGAATTTTCCCATGGAAAATGTAAGTTATGATTTCATGGCTCAAGCCTCATCTTTGTAAAGACAGCCATGAATTTCCCTCTTTGTTGCTTTACTCTTGATTTAAAGTCTCATGGCCTGTAATTGTCCTTGCTGAATATCCTAAAATCTGTAAAAACAGTTAACGATTTTAATGATCTTAAAATGTTCAGGTAAATATGGCATCATCTGCATGGAGGATCTGATTCACGAGATCTATACTGTTGGAAAACGTTTCAAAGAAGCAAACAACTTTTTATGGCCCTTCAAATTATCTTCTCCACGAGGGGGAATGAAGAAAAAGACCACCCATTTTGTAGAAGGTGGAGATGCTGGTAACAGGGAAGACCAGATCAATAGGCTTATTAGAAGGATGAACTAAGGTGAGCGGCTAAGGCTTGATAGAATTTTACTTCATAATAAGAGTAAAAGTGGTGGTAATCTTTAAATATTGATAAGGGGTTGGGTTCTAATATTTTTTGGCGGGGGAGCCAGTCATCTGATTACAGCTGGTTTGATTACTCCTTTTGAGGGCGTTTATGGAGGAAAGAAAACCTGTGGGTTTTTTTCTTTTTCTTTTTTGTTTTAAGATTTTATTTATTTATTTATTTATTTGAGAGAGAGAAACAGCATGAGGGGGAGAGGGTCAGAGGGAGAAGCAGGCTCCCTGCTGAGCCGGGAGCCCGATGTGGGACTCGATCCCAGGACTCTGGGATCATGACCTGAGCTGAAAGCGGTCGCTTAACCAACTGAGTCACCTGGGCGCCCTGTGATTTTTTTCCTTAAGAATGGAAACTGAAGCACTTTCTTAAAATTTCTTGATTTATGTTAATTGTAATCTATTAAGGTGGTTTTTTTTTTTTCCCTTTTCAGGTATCTACCATGATTATTTTTGTAATCTGGTCAGTTAATAAATGGCTACTCTCAAATGGAAATGTGTTGTTGTCTTGGTGACTTTTTGCTAGCCTGACTCTGCTGTCCCTTAACTATTAAAGCAAATCTTGGTGTGTGATAAAAGTCATCAGCCTTTGCGTGCAAAACTAGGGTCTAGTTTGTATCTTGGTGGAAAACATTCCTTGGGTTTATTAAAGACTCTTCTGTACAAAGAATATGTCTTTAATTTTTCACTTTTGAATTGTGCCACTGAGTTAGCCAAGATGGGTCTGTTCTAAGAAAACCTATTTCATAGGCCTTTGTGCATGATTTACAAATAGAAATACTGTTGCTGAAATTCTATCCTGTGAGGCTTTGGCTTTTCTATAAAGTACTGTGTGAACATGTTTTCCTTGCATTTCCATTTTTGGTTTTTTGTTTTGCATCTTCTGTGCTTATTTAGGTGAGATTTTAATTATTCCATTATACATTGTGTATGTTATAAAGGAGGAAATGAAACTGGTGCCCATAGATGCAAGTTGTTTTGTAGCACCTATAGCAGTAGTGAGCAAAACATGAAACGTTTTGTAATTTTATAAATAACATTCCTATGTGTTGTATGTATCTCACTTAGATTAGTGAACTGATAGTTTTCAGGGTAGAACATAATACGAAGTATATATAAAAAGTTTTTGTAGTCCTCATTGATTGTGCCAGCGGTGTGATGCGGTATGAAACAGGTGCCCTGTTAATTCTTTTGACACTTGGACCAGAATCATTACAGTTAATATTTGAAAGCTGCTAGACAGATATGTTTAATAATTTTTTAAAATTCTCTAGTCTTAGAAACTATCTCTCTGGTTTAGTGAGTTTATGGTCAATGAATTCTGGAAATACAGAAGGTTCTTTATATAAAGTCAGTGTTACATGTTACACACTGAGTGTGCCAGTGTTTTGCAAGAAACTTGTTTTTAGTAAACGCCCACTCTCAGTAATTAGTGGTACATTTGTTTATAGCCCACGAATGGACACATTACCCAAAGAAGCAAAGCTTTTGAAGCTGGTGAGGGATAGGAACATCTTTGGGAATACGTAGGATAAACAGTGTATTGACAATACATGTCCTCTGTGGACGTGTTTGTTTTCAGTCTGGGAAATTCAGTTCTCCATATAAATTACTTTCCGAGTGGGGCCAGGGGCCCAGAGGATGGGGAAACAAATGGGTGAGAGTTTGGGGGTAGGGAGGAGTTGCAGACATTTAATATTGCCATAGAAAAGTCTAAAGCGCTTGCTTCAGAGTAAAGGAACCTAGGCAGTTTCAAAGAGTGGGAATAGAGGAAGGCATGTCAGAGTGATAATTTCTGCTGTTAGATTCTAGGGAATAAAGTAGGGTAATTGGTCTGCCTTCACAGGATTGTGAGGACTAAAAGGGTGTGAAAAGGTTTTGTGAACTGTTAGAACCTACTGAAGTGCAGGTTAACACCTTGTTTAGAAAACCCACCTCCTAAAAGATGGTGTCACCTATAAGGTACTGTCCCCTAGAAGGCTAACCAACCTTTGAAAGTCTGGGCCCCACCCAACTGGTTCTACAAAAATTCACCTCATGTAAATTTACATTTGTGCCCTTCAGTGTTCCAGCATTATAAGATCTTACACTAGCTACCCTGGTTTTCTTTTTCTTTTTTTTTTTTTAAGATTTTATTTATTTATTTGAGAGAGAATGACATAGAGATAGCATGAGAGGGGGGAGGGTCAGAGGGAGAAGCAGACTCCCCGCTGAGCAGGGACCCTGATGTGGGACTCGATCCCGGGACTCCAGGATCATGACCTGAGCCGAAGGCAGTCGCTTAACCAACTGAGCCACCCAGGCAGCCACTACCCCGGTTTTCAAGTCATGAAGCTTAGTTACTGCATTCACTGATCTTTAGCAGGTGTTACCTCATATTGCTTATCTTTGGAAGTTCCTTTACCATAGGCTGGATTGAGTGCTGACTCTGGAGCCAAAATGGGTTCGTATCCAGCCTTCACTTAATAGCTTGGGCCAGTGAATCTTTATCAGTAAAATGGGGGAGATTGTCATGCCTAATCTAGGATTTTGATGAAGATGTTAGGTGTTTAGAGCAGTTCTGGCTCAAAGTACAAGTAAATACTATTTACTACATATTGTAACTTGAGCACCTAGCAGGGTCGTACAAAGGAAAAGAGCCTATGCTTTCATGTGTCGGTCTAATTGGTAAGCTAGACATAACACAAATAGTGTGAGATAAGTGCTACAGGGATGTCTAGGATGTGTCAGCTTTTTGGGGTGTCTGGAAACCACCTGTAGGGGAAGACTGACAACATTCTGCCCCCACTGCTTTCCTTTATAGATCGGTATCGAACCAGGCAAAACATTGCTTTCATATGGTTGTCTCCCTTTGCTTGGGTAAAACTTTTTAAGGCCAACCTTTTAATCCTTTCAACCTAGTATTTTATATGGAGTAGGCAATAGATTTTTGTTTCCTATTGCTGTTTTAACAAATTACAAACTTGAGTGACTTAAAACACAGATTTATTGTCTTTAACAATTTCAGAGGTAAGGAGTCCTAAATTGGTTTCCCTGAGCTAAGTCAGGGTGTCATCAGGCCTGCCTTCCTGCTCTCTGAAGGCTCTACAGGAGAATCCTTTTTTTTTTTTTTTTTCCAGTTTCTGCAAACCACTTGTATTTCTTGGCTTATAGCCCCTTCTTCCATCTTTGAAGTCTTAAGGACCCTTGTGATCAAATTGAGCCACCCAGATAATCCAGGATAATCTCTCCATCTCAAATTCCTTAATTTAAGTACATCAGCAAAGTTCCTACCTAGTAGTCCCTACTGTAGGCAGCATATTCCAGGAATAATGGCAGGGAAATGTTAGGGAGGGCCATTCTTTGATCTTTAATTTATAGTTCCCAGCTATATTTGTTCTTGTTTCTCAAAAATGACAAGCTTCTAATGTAGGGTCTTGGCCCTTGTAATCTTGTGTCTGAAACACAAGGCCCTCGGGTCTGTGTATTTCACTTCTTAATTCTGGAAAAATGTCTTTTCTGACACATCTCTTAATATAACCCTGTATTTTTCACAGCATCTCTTACTTCTGGAAATACTTTTTCCATTTGTTCTTGTTGCTTTTCACAGCCACTCCTCAAGGTTTTGAGAATATGTACTGAAACTGCTATAAGGTTTGAGTGTTTGTCTTCTCTGTTCTAGCCCTAGAATAATGCGTGGTGCATTGCAGTCCTTATGTTTTTGATTGAGTGAATCAAGCCTCTTAAGAGCAATAGGAATTTAAATTTTTGATTTTCCAGTTGTTGGCACATTGTCCTTGGTGAATGGTGAGAGGAGTTGGCAGCACTGTGGTGGGTTCATGGAGACTGTATGTATGTATGTGTGTATACACACATATTACTGTAAAAGACTCAAAGATGAGTTTTATTGTGTAGGAATCTATTATGTGAAAATAGAACAGCATGTTAGGGGAATATAGGAGATGGTTCATGCTGTGCAGATTGGGAAATTTCACAAAGGAGGTAGAATTTGGACAACTGGTGATAGAACAGCTAGAGTCAAGAGTTGGGAGGCAGTGTCAGTGGCAGCTGTGATAGCTCAGGATATGATAGACTCAAAAGCAGACCATTTAATAATAAACATTTGATCACGCATTGACTGCTAGTGTACACTTAATCTACATAGTCCTTGGTTGGTTCTCCACTTTGAGAGCAATCCCAGAACCGATTGACTGGGGGGATGGGTCCCAGGCCTTTCTTTAAATTCTCCATGTCATTTTTAATGTGCAGCCTATTCTATTAGGTAAGTATACCACTATCTCCATTTTTTAGATGAGGGGTTAACTTTCCGTCCCCCAGGATCACACAAGTGGTGGGGCAAGTATTAGGTTCCAGATCTAATTTGAGTTTTCTTAACCAGAGAAGCTAGGAAATGTGAGTGTGGAGCTTGATGAAAACAGAAAGTGTGTTTGAGAGCAGCTTCAGTTTTGTCGGACCTGAAACCATCGTTCCTAGGGCTAAACTTGCAGCCCTATTTGGGGTCATGAAATGGAAGCAGAGGGTTTAGAACATAATTTGGCAAAAGTATAGATGCTAAGGTCCTACCGCACAAGTCAGGGTGCTAGGCTTATTTACTGGGGAGGGGACACGCACCTAACCTTTCACCAAAGAACCTAGACAAAGGAGACAGAACGTGGAATTCGGGCGGGCATGGTGAGGGAACTCGGGGATGACTATGTCACTTAACCTAAGATTGGGATAGGCAGGTATTGCTGGGCTGTTTGAAAGTTCCAGACTCATCAGTACTCTGGAGAACCTGGTTAGTTTGAATCTTAAAAATGCAATCCAGGGAATTGAACGTCAACCCTGTCTAACTGCCCACTACCCACCCTACAGGCGCATGGCGCAACTTTCGTGCCCCACTGAACTTGTGCCACGTCTGACTCCCGGACACCCAACCTCATTTCAGCACCCCCCCCGCCCCCCCCGTAGCAGTGACCCCAAAGGCGGTGGCACCTATACTAGTTGTCGAGTGAGTCCTAAGCGGCCTTCTAGCCGCCCAGGCGCCTTCCTGGCGCGGCACCCTAACCGTCGGTCCCTGCCGTGGGAAGACTGCGGCAGGTGACCGCGCGCGGAAGGCGGTCCGGAAGCTCCGGAAGCTCCCGGCGCCTGGCAACGCGCGCGCGTCGGGCGGGCAGGGCTGCAGCCACCGGAGCCGGTCGCCGGGCCGGGCGGGGCTGAGCGGCGGGCGTGCCGCGCTCTCGAGCGTCGCCGGGCTGCTGGCAGCCGAGCATGTTCGCCCCGAGAGCGGCGCCCGTACGAGCGCCAGGCCGCCCTCCCTGCCCTGCCCTGCCGCCGCGGCCAGCCCCGCGCCCCGGCCAGGCTGGGCCGGGGGCTCGGCTCGGCTGCGGGCCGCCCCTGGCTCCCGCGCTGTCCGCTGCCCCCGTTGACCCCGCTGCCGGAGCCTCAGACCTGGGCACCACCGCCACGGTCCAGGCACTCGAAGAAGCCCCTCTCCTCCGAGGTGGAGCTGCGGGGACAGTGAGTGCGGGTGGTCTCCGGAGGACCCCCGGCCTAGCGGGAGCGGGGTGGGGGGGTAGGGTGGGGCGGAGGCCAGGGGACCTTGCAGGGGCAGGGCTGAAGGGGAGGTGGGGCCGAGAGATCAGCTGGTCAGGCCCCCTTCCAGGCAGGGGGAACTAGCCCAGTGAGGCACATGGGTCACTCCAAGGATTCTCTTGACCCTGAGGGGAGCTGCCGGGCGGGGTCGGGTGAAGCAGAGAGATGGGAACGAGTCCCGGACTCGAGGACCTGCCTGCCGGATCTGTATGTTTCCGCACTCCTCAAGCTGGGTCAGGCTAGCACGCGCGTCCCTGCGTCAAGTGGACACGCCCTTACAGGGTCTCCCTCCAACCTGCCCAGGGTTTAAACTGAAGCGGGGTGTGGGCTAGGTGTTTCCCCTCTACCTTTGACTGCCACTGTACTTGCACCCAGCCATGTGGAGCAGGACTTGGGACACTGACCGTGTTAATTAGCTCTGGCTCCGTTTTCACAGCCAATTTAGCTTTGTGCCATTTCTGATTTACCTATAGTTTGTGTGTTTATTACTTTTTTCATGAGGGGTTACAAATACTAGAAAAGATTTGTGTAATACAGGTAGTCTGTTCTATTGTATGGGTCATTCTACCCCTACAGCTTTTGGGGTGCCATAGACATGAAAACTGGAGCCTCTGTCTAGAGAAATGCAACTTTGCAACCATTTTCAGGGTATTGTACTCTCTGAAGCACAAGAATCCCTGCTCTTCCATCTTCATTGGCTTTTTATCTACATTGCTAATGGTGAGTTTAAATCCTCTGTTACAGAGATGTTTCTTCAAAAATACTTTTGACATTTCTTTTTTTACATTTTTAAAATTACATTATAACACATTAGTAGTTCTCATTCAAACAGAAGAATATAGAGTTAGAAGTGAAAGCCCTCTCTTTACCTTTTTCTCCTTTCTTTCTAAATCTTCTTAGAGTTTATTTAGTGTTTATCCTTTTACTCTTTTTTCATTTTTTTAATCATCATTGGAATCATGTGGATTCTTTTGAGAAATTGTCTTTTTCACTTAAAAGGATGTGACAAATAACTTCATATCAGTTTACTTAGGTCTGCATTGATATGGTAGATGTATCATGCAGATGTATGACCATATGGTATGGATGTATTGTAATTTATGTAACCATTCCTCATTAAGATTGGTTCCAGTTTTTCCTTATTGCAAACAATGCAACAATGAACATTCTTATACATGGGAACAGTTCTATAAAATGAATTCCTTGAAGCAGAATTGCGGGGTCAGGTGTATGTATGTGAAAAATATTTGATAGAATCTTGTGTTCTGAAAAGTCTTTACTGATTTACATTTCCATCAACAGGCTGTGTTGAGAAAAATCTGTCTTTATTATTATTTAAAACAGCTTCCACTCACTGAGTATTTATTACATGTCCAGCACCATGCTGAATATTTTACATGCATTTTGAAATTGAATCCTCACTAACCCTGTGAGAATCGGAGGCACTGTTATTTTCTTCATGACCCTATGGTTATGCAGCTATTGAAGGGCAGAATCAAGATTAGAATCCAGGCTCATTTTACTCCGATGAATAAAATGTGTTCTTTGTTGGGTGGGAATTCCTGGTCAGTAATTGACTGGGAATTGTATTTCATTGGGTTCTTTGAGGATTAAATGAGATTGTGCTTTTGGTGTTGCTGTGTTATTAGTAGTTTCTTCCACTACCAACTTCTATAGAATTGGACACGGTCCAGTGCTTCCCGTAATTCTGGTTCCTCTGTATTCTCTGCCTCTCCAGTCACCTCTCAGCCTCTTCTTTATCTTCCTGCTTTGTGGACATTTTAAGGAAATCTGGCTTTCTTCTCCCTCTCAAGTCTTCTTTGGCAACTTTAATCCAGTCTCTGGCCTTAATTCTCACTAGTGAATAGATGACTCTTAAAATTTCTTCTCCCAAACGAAGCTACGGTCCTCAATTCCTACAGCTTAGATCCAGGTTCTATAGCTCCACCTGGATGTCCTCCATTCATTTTATCTAAAACCGAGCTTTTTGTTTCTCTCCACCCCCAGACTAGCAATTTCCCTTTGAATGTAATTCATCATTCTCTTAGTCACCCTAGTTCGCAGTCTCAGGCATCTTTGACTCTTTTTTCTTTGCTGAACCTCCTAAATTCAATCAACTGTTGGATTCTGACTGCTGCTACTCTAATTTAAGCACTCTGGACTATTAGTATTGTAGTGGCTTCTTAACTTGGTTCCAATCTCTGCCAGATTAATCTTCCTAAAGCATACCTGTGAATGTGCCACACCTCGGTTCCAAACCCGTGTCAGTGTCTTCCCGTTGCTCGAAGAAGTAAGTGCAAACCACTTTGGCTAGCATTCAGATTTGTCTGTGATCTCGCCCCAAACTGTCATTTCGTTATCTCTCACAGCGCCCTTATCTGAAGCCCGCTCCATTCTCCGTGGCAACTTTCACATCTGTATCTTTTCCTGGAATGCCTATACCCGCATTTCTGCCTGTCTAAATTCTATTCGTTATTTTCTGGCTTCTTCCAAGGCTTTTTTGAACTTCCCTGTGAAAATAACATCTGCCTTCTTTTAACTCCCCTGATGTGAGACATCGCTCCCTCCTTGGGCTGTAAGGTCGCACTTTGCCTTATATTACAGTTGTGTGAGTGGCTGCTCTTTTTCCTTTTGCATTGGAAATTCTGTAAAGGCAGAATCTCTGTTTAGTTCTTGACATCTTCATCTAAATCTCTGTTTAGTTCTTCAGATATGAAGATTTGCACATAGTACATGCTTAGTGAATGTATTTGAGTAAGTGAGTTAATAATCACCCTTGGGAATAAAAAATTGCATCTATTAGTCTGTTCCTAGCTGTAATGACAAATGGACCTCAACATCTTAGTGACTTAACATGTAACAGTTTCTTTCTTGCTCACATAACAATTCCAAAGCAGATAGTCCTGGTCAGCAGGGAGCTTTCTCCCAATTGGTTGTAGGACCAGGCTCTACCATTCATTAACACTTCCCTATTATCTTACTGTAGCAAGGAGAAGATCGGAAAAAGCAGACTTGCTTCTTAAAGGCGTTACACATTACACTCACTCACGTTCCAATCACGGGGAGGTAGGCATTTCTTAGGAACACTGTATTCTCTGGAGGAGCAAGAATTTTAGTAAACATTTAGCCTACTGACCGTCACAGTCAATTTCTACTTGTGAAAACCCATGGGACTTGGCTTGAACATCCGTCGCTGAAAAACAAAAGCAAAACTCCTACTTCCCCCATCTGGCTAGGTTAGCAAACCCTCTGTTATACACAGAATTAAAACATACCTTTATCACTAATATTTATCATAATGAACTCTAATTATTTGTTTACTTTGTTCCCCCCCAACATACTGTACGCTTTTGCATCTTCATCATTTTTGTATTTCAGCTCCTAGCACAATGATCTGCATTATGGATAAATAAATAACTAGCTTTCTCAATGAATCCACAACCTGTCTTTCTGTTCACTTGATAACTATTTTGCTTTAAACAAAGCTAAAAATAAAGATAATCTTACCAACTGCTCTTTGATGTTTGGGTTATTTTCAGCCTTTTTTCTTTTCTATTATAAAAAAATACAGGATTTGACATCCCTGAAGATAAATAATTGTATGTATCAATGATTATTCCATTGGGATAAATTCCTGGAAGTGGACCTGCTGGGTCAAAAGTATATAAAATTATTAGGACATATATATTGCCAAATTGCTTTCTGGACATATGATACTGATATATACACTGAAACCTTATTATGAGAGTGCCTATTTTCCTTGAACCTCATCTTACATTGTCTAGTATTAAAGAAAAATCCTTGCCATTTTGATTGGCAAAATCATAGCTCATTATATTATTTTGCTTTTATTTGAGAACTAGTGAGGATGAACTTTTATTGGTCATTTGTATTTTTTTTCTGGAATGAATTATCTGTCCTTTAATAAATACATTTTTCTATAGGGTTCATTCTCTTTTTTATTTTTAAGTATCTTTATATGTAAAAGGAATTAAAAGCATCAGTTTTTTATGTCCTCATTTGAAAAGTTATGGGAACTTCTGGATGGTGTGGCAGAAGAAGCTGACATGGATGGGACTCCATTCTACTTTGGTATATTTCATATGCCGGATAAAATATAATAAGATAATTTATGGAAATGTGGCTGAGCTAGGGACCAAGAGAAGGAAATCCCCAGGTGCCAGAAATGAAGGAACATTCACATAGGAAGCCACTGTTGAGCATCTGCCGAAAGCTGGAAGTCACAAAGGCGTACTGTTTCCAGTTACTATGACTGCATCACAAATTTCTCCAAAACTTAGTCGTGGCAAACAACCATTTATTGTGCTCTGTGGGTCAGGAATTCGGACAGTGCACAGCAAGGACAGCTTGGCTCTGCTTCATGATGTCTGGGGCCTTGGATGGAAGAATCACAAGCTTGGGGCTGGAATCACCTGCAGGCTCATTCATTCCCATGTCTGGTGGTTGATGCTGGCTGTGGACTGAGACCTTAGCTGTGGATGTCAGCTGGATCCTTTGTATGGGGTGGCTTCTTCCTGTCACCCGGCTTCCTCACAAAATGGTGGCTGGATTTCATAGGTGAGTATCCCAAGAGAGAGCCAATTGTATCGCCTTTTATGCCCTAGCCTTGGAAATCACACAGTGTCACTTCTAAGGCACTTTATTTACTCAGGAAGTTAGTTTCAGGGAGAGGGAACACAGACCTCACTTCTTGAAGGAGTGTCAATATCACATTGAAGGAAGAACGTGTAGGAATGGATATGTATTAGTGCATCCTTCTTTGAAAAATACAACCTGCTACAGACACTGAGGTGATAATAGAAAAATATGCCCCCATTGGCCTGAGGAGACTGCAAGGAAGCTTGCCATCCACTTGGACTATGGCAGGAAAAGGGTTAGCTGTTAAACCCGGCACATAGACTCTGCACAGCTTCATACACATACAGCTCAAGTCTGGGGTCTGAATTCACATGACTGCATGCTTTGGGGACCACCATCCAAGAAACTGACATACCAACTGCTCTGGCACCTCCAAAACCCAGGGCCAAGCGGAGACCAATAGAAAAGTCCGTATAGCAAAGTTTCCAGAGCTCAGGGAGTACTGGACTCCCATAGGTAGCAATCTCTCTGAAGATGAGCTCACAGTCAAAGTGTACAAATTATATGAGGAAATGAACACAAAGAAGGAGACTTGGCAGATGCAGTGAGTGGGGGATGAGTACCACAAAACTGAATAGAACATCATGGGAAAATATTTAAATTTGTACTATGCAAGGAGATGAAGGGTATGGAAAGCAAAAGGCAAGAACAGGTCAGTATGAAGAAAAACAGGAGAGTTCTAGGGGTGCACCTTTCCCCCGAAAGGAAAAGAGGAAGAGAGGAAAAGGCATTGAGTCAAGCTGTACCTCTCGTACCTAGCCATTAGCTGATTCTTGGCCTAGGGTAATAATCATGATGATTATAATAATAGCAGCCATCATTTGTCTCTGTGTGTAAAGCTACCTTACTGCAGTCTGAACTGAAGATTCTTGTTTGAGAATTAAAGCAGCATACTAGGCATTTAGCTAGATGTTTGTCTTAAATCACCTTCAAACTTCATAATAACTCTGTAAGACAGAGCTTATTAGTTCCCTAGGTAGGGAGACTGAGGCACAGAAAGGTTAACAAGAAAATAAATATTTTGTCCCACCCAGGAACGGGTGACAGGAAAGGGGAAGTAA